GGCACCAACCTAAAGTTAGCAGTTTGTCGCTCTGTCATTTTTTAAGGCACTATGTGAGCTCTTTCAATAGTGGATTTCTCCCTTCTGAGCAGTTCACAATCACCACTACCCTCAATTCATACACCCATGCCTACCGTAAGCACACACTGAGCGGCAAATTCACCATCGCAAGGTAAAGGAATTGTCCGAGTCTCACCTGAGAGATAGCTCTTGATGAGCTTGATCACAAAGGGGAAACGTTGGGGACTGCAGTAATAACACCACAAAAGGGTAGGACACTATCTCAATCTGTGGTAACACACAGTCCATAAATCTCAATGCAAAAAGTTCATTAATCAATGAAAAATACCTCCACTCATAGTACACAGGAGTAGTCTAAGAAGATTTCTACTGTTTTGAAAGTTTGGAATGAGTTGTTCCTGAGTGTCCCACATCATCTTTGGTCACTCAACAGTAACTACTACACAACTAATGCTTAGTCTCGACAAGTGCATTTGGTTTGGTTGGGGTAACATTATACTGTCTGTTTTCTCTTTCTTGTTACAAAGTTTGGCTGTTTTCTGGGTATTGGCTTCTTACCTTTGAGGGGACCGGATACACCCGCCTCCTTGCACATCTCACGCTCTGGCCCGTGATCAGACAGGAATATGGCTAGTGTGTTCCTCTCAAGATTCAGATCTCGCAGGAGCTGCAACATCTCACCTACCGCCCAGCTCATCTCATTTATGTTGTCTCCATAAAAGCCTGATCAGCATAAGCCAACATTATAAAAATTCTGAAAGTATGTGGTTCAGAGGTGGACATTAAATTGTATTTGACATGGCAAAGAGACCAGAGCAGTGAATAAGACTACATGTTGAGTATATTCTCATATACCTGCATCTTACATCCTGTAGACCTTCAGGTATTTTCCATGCAAAAGTGGAAATTTGCTCATGCTATTACCAACCTGTAAATTTTTAAACAAAAAGAGGTCTTTTGAAAAAACAAAACCACAATGGAAATAATAAGTAGCACCATTAAATCCACTTTAATTTGTTTGTAAAACTGCTTTCTGTTTAAAAATTATGATTAACAGGGAGGTTGGGAACAGCATCACAACATTTTGACTTTTGAGTGGGATTGACCTCAATGTTGTTTACAAACAAGTTTACAGTAAATTCGTCCTCAGCTGACAACGCAGCTTCTGCCTCTTAACACACATTGTGCTACATTAGTGTTAAGATGGAAGTAGTTAGGGTTAGTATTAAGCGGTAGTGTTTAAAGAGCACCTCCAAGGAAAACACGTTTTCTCTGATTCTATTATTCAAATAAATAAGGAAGCATTCAAATCCCATGCGGTGTCATTTGTCTTCTGAGCTCAAATTTATAACAAGCTTAAAAGGGTTTTTTATGTTCAAGCCAAGATGCAAATTTTGAATGCAGATTGGACATTCTGAGAAAACAGAGACGAGGGGAACCTTCGCCTTGTGTTCGTAGTGGATAAACCCTTGGGCATACCAAACAATGGCTACATGCATTATTTGGCATATGTAGGGATTATCAACAACAAACACAGGGCGAGGGTTCCCCTCGTTTTCTCTGTTTTCTCCAAATGACCAATCTACATTCAGAATTCGCATCTTGGCATGAACAGAAAAAAGCCCTTTTAAGCTTGTTATAGGTGAGCTCTGAAGACAAATGATACTTCATTCAATTTCGATGCTTCCATATTTCATTTGAACAGATAAAATCAGAGAAATCATGTTTTCCCTAGAGGTGCACTTTAATACCTATAAGTGGTAGTGTGTACTCTTCACATGTACTATTTACATGTTAGAATTTAGTGGTTCCAAGTTCTCATTACTTAATGCTTTAGATGCTGCTTGAGATTTATTGAAAAACTTTATATTTTTTTAGCCGCCGGTTGAATGAAAACCACCAGCTGCCAAAAACAAAAACAGAACCTGTGATGTTGCACAAGAAAAGTCCATAGACAGAATGCAACTTCATACATTTTTGAGGATTTCTTGAGACAAAGAACTCACGCAAAAACAACAAATTCTAAGATGTATATAGCTGAAGTATAGCCTGATTGTTTGTATTCATATTACCTCGCCTTGAAGAGTTCCTAAAAGCCGTCGAACTGAACATATTGGAATGGGTGTGCGGGAAGGAAAAGTAGAAGAAAAAAGGCTCATGCTGGTGGTCATAGATGAAGGCCTTAGTGTCCAGTAGCATTGCCGAGGTGAGGTTGTGATGGCTAAATGGCTGCTGAAGCATGGTGTCGTTGTAGTATAAAAAGCAGCTGGAACGGTCCACAGATGGAAGCAATCTCTGTCAGAGAGCAACAAGCAACATCTGCATGTACGTCAGCACAGAGGGAGTGCCAGTCAGTCTGGTTATTTTCAGTGAGGCATGAGAATCAGGACTTTGGAGGCAAACTCAGATCAGGGGCAGATCTTGAACCAAGTTCTAGGGGATGTGGGCCAAATTTGATCTTTTGGAGGGGGAGCCCAAAAATTTGGACATACAGAAAGTTTGGCTCCTTTGAGGGGATATAAATGGTCCTTGTTTCTCCCCTTTCCCACCACCAATCCACCAATGGTCTCGGACAGCCTGAGCTCCCTGAACTGTTTAGGGTCTACACTTGGCAATTCCGTGCTTATGTGTAGGGAGTTCTGCAACATGCTGGGTCCCCCACTGAAATATGCCTGGCAAAAAGGAAAGAGGTGATGAAGGAGAAGGGGAAGAAAGACCAGTAGATGAGAATCGAAGAAAACCATTCAAAAAGAATAGCAACATTCCAAGGTTTAGGTGAAATCTTGGAAGATAGTGTTGCTTACCTTAGTTAGATCACATCGCCAGACATTTGAAAATGGCAGAATCGTGCCGACAAAGTCAAAACCATGGTGCATTGGTAAATGATTTCCATCAGTGGAATTAAACTCATTGATACCTGGAAAAATTAGGAAAAAATGGCAAGAATACTGCTCTTATCAACAGTAAAGCTCGTGTTACTGTGTCTAAAATAGTGATAAAATACAGTACTATAGTCTAGGGCTGTGCTGAATATCCGAATTATTGATCAATTACCGAATATTCCAATATTATTTTCCAAATTTGAATATTCGAATTGCAAAATTCATGAAAAGGGAGAATTTTCATTTGTTTTAAATGAGAAAAGTTGCACTATGGAGGCTTGTTGCAAGCAGATTCAAATGAAAAGCAACAGAAATCTTACAGTGATTCAAAATGTAAATTACTCATTAACAAATTTAAAAAGGAACAGAAATTTTCAATGGGGAAAGAAGTATTGCTTGTCTCTTAAATTTTGCTAAATCGTGGCTGCAGATACTCCTGGACATAAGAAGCTATTATAGTGATTATAATGTACAATTGGGTGTGTTATTGCAACTGGTTTTATATATGGTTTGTTCATCGACAGTCTGCCGATCAGAACAACCAAATATTTGGATATTCAATCGAATTTAATGTCATGTATTTGACTAGAGAATTATTTGAATTGATTAATCCCTACTATGGTCCCTATCTGCTGGTCAAAAAAAACCTGAAGATAGGAGTTAACCTTGGAATTTATCTGGAAAGGATATTTTTTCATAAGAAGGTTCATAATGCCTATTATCTTACAATGTTTTTACAAAGGATGCTGAAGTTGTCTTGCTAAATTATGGTGGCGCTGTTTCAAGTTATAACTATTATTTGAAAAGAAATGAATTTAAAACGTTCAGGACTTGCAATCAATTGATAGGAGTTGATATCACCTTCCATCAGTTGCAAAACTGCTGTATTTCTGAATGTGGTTCAGCTACTTTTGGCATTTGATTTGAGGAATATTCCATTGTGTAAAATTGAGAAATAGAGTGATTTGAGCAATCACGAAGGTTGGTTCAGTGTTTTCTCAAAGCAAGAATTCCTTAGTCATGACACAAAGTGGAGTACTGATAGTTACCACATCACACACATTAATCTGTGCATTACAGATCACTTTGTGGTGCATCAAAGCCATCCACTTCATAACTTTGTGGTGCAATCATCCTATGGTTGGTACCGTAGTAGCAATCCTACCAAGATGCCACTTTCCGACCATTCCAGTTGCATAGCCGCAGCTCTTCAATGCTTCTGCAATGGTTATCTCTTCTTTAGGCAGGCCAGTTGAGGACTGGCTCACGAAGACAGGATAGGGTTGTTGATGGTCGCCATAGAGACCCACGCGAACTGGGTACCTGCCTGTCAGGGAATTTACCAGAGGACAATCTCAGACTGTGGACGATGACGGTTTTGGAAAGTTCTCCTGCAGATGTAAACATATACTGTCCCCCCTGTTCATGTGGTTCATAAATTACTACTATAACCATAGAAGAAGGACACAGAAGGAGTTGGAAATGCCCAGGCCGTAACATCTTGCCAATTACCGCTTTGTGGCATGCCTGGTATGTCCAAAGCAAGGGTGCAGCGAACACTTGTTTCACAACCACCAAACCCCTTTGAACCCTATGATCTCCGTCGCAATCTGTTGCTAGTAATCTACATCCTTAAAACTTTGTGCACTGAGGTATAGGAAATTGAATATTCATGCATTTGTTAGTGCTTGGTATGATCTCATGACAACATCACATTTAATGCGTGGATTACGCTGTGTGCCCTAAATCTACATGTGCAGTCACTGCCCTTAATGAGCGCTTTCTTCTGGAGTTATTTTGGGAATAAATAGCCCAGTTGTTTAAAAGATTTTGTGTTTTATTTGAATCATTTTTATTCTGGCATTTGTACAAAAAAGTATTTTATGAGATTTTACGATCACTCCCTGTGATGAAATGGCGCATTTTGTTACTTATGAACTTAGCTATCCAGTAAAAGTCAACATTTTGTTGGCCAGTCTTAGCCAAATTTGTACCAAGTCTTTTTTGTCCGACTCGGCAGCGATGATCATTGAACACTTTGAAGTGACAGAGTTGCAACTCCTTCTGTGTCCTTCCTCTATGCTATAACCATTCTGAAATTCCAAGGTGTCATCAACTAATCAAATATAATAACCAAATGTGCACAGCCTCATTTCTATCCTGTGCATGGACCTCAAATTTTAATTCAGAGAGCACAATCACGAGACATTACTGACTTGCTACATCAGATATATGTGAAACACAGGCTTTGGAGTTTGAGGAGCATGAGTGTTAAATTCTGGAAGAACGCATTACTTGAAAAGGTGGCACTGCTTCAACAATGCCAGGAATGAAACCAGGATAAAGGATTTTCGCAAAATGGGGGCATGATCCCAGATCATCCAAAAGGGAGGCATGAACAAAAGCAGCAATGGGAACTTGCCTGCGAGCACGAAGGCCTTACGCTCTTACAGCGTAGGGTCTGGAGCATTTTAGGATTCTAGGCACTCACAGGTGCAATTCAAGGCAGTATGACCCCCCCCTTCTCCCTACCTCCCTCTCTCCCTCCTCTTCTTTTTTTATTCATTTATTTATTGGGGGGTGCCAAAAGGGGACATGCACACCCCCCCCATTCGCCCCTGATGAAAGCCTTCTAGTTGCAGTCACTGCCTTACTCTACAGTGATGTGCGAGTCCATCTTCTTACCAGTCAGCATTGCACCACGACTAGGAGAGCAGAACAACGCCGGGGCATACCACTGGGTGAACCGTATACCTTCCCTTCCCATCTGATCGATGGGACCAAACTCCTGAGTGGGATGGCCATAGGAAGATAGGTCTCCATACCTAGCACAGGGAGAAGAATCCAAAGGGAACCTAGTCAAAAGTATATGCCATTTCCCTAATGCATAGTTGCATGCCTTACACGTAATAAATGATAATTTTGAATGTTAGAAATACATGTACATTGTACAAGTAGGCGTACTGTCATAACAAAGGTGAAAAAAAGAAATTGACTGGAAGGGATTTGAACCTGCAACCACTGAAATTCTGTGTTAGAGATTCAAATCCACTCTAATTCACTCCACAGATTCAAATCCACTCTGTGTTACAGATTCAAATTCACTCTAATAAATTTTTTTACTTTTACCATATTATGTGAGCACTTACTACCTTTACGTAGAGTTTGACAACTAAGAATATATTCAGAATCCCAAGAAAGGCTTGGATGAGTGTGCATAACATGAGAACAAAGTATCGTAGTTATTACCCAAAGTCATCTGCCAAGAAAATAATGATGTTGGGTTGATCAAGAGGTGAGCGCAAAGCACCCGCCATGTATGACACCACAACAGCGTAGAACACCAAAATGGTTTGCACCGGACTCTTCATTCTGAGGGCATTACCAGACTAGAGCAACTTGATGTTCTCTGCAGTCCAGTTTTTGAGCTACAGGTATCTAAAGACAAGAAAAAAATAAAAGACAAGGAAAATAAGGACTAATCAGCAAACATCTGAACTTCACCGATCAATAAAGCCCCACCCTGTTGTGTTCTGACCAATCACAGCTGTGATTTATACCCAACATGCATGCATAAAAGTCCAACATGTGTACATGCATGTATCCCGGGTGGCTGGAACACACAGTGTGGCACTGGAGAAGAGTATGTGCTAACAGCCCATGTGTGGAGTGGGCAGGGCTTACTGAATCAGTCTACTGTAGCCTGCTAACCTCATGTCTGCATAAAGCTTCTCCATGTTCCATATTACGGCCCCAGTAGCTGTCCCAGAGGGCTCCCCCCCCCCGCCGCCACCACCACAATTGTTGTGTTTGGGTTTATTTCAGTTTTAGGTGCCCCCCTCCCCTTCTACTGGGCACCCCCCCTTGTAAATATTGCATGGGTCACCTTATAGACATTTCTCACAGTTTTTATTCACAATCACTGCTCATGATCAATTTGGGAGTTTGAAAGGTTCAATCTAACCTATTCCCCTTCTGTTTGCAGTAGAGTTCTGCTTTGCAAAAGTTTGTTTGTTTTTCCGGAATGCGACCAATGAGCCCGGAACTGCACGTGGCCATATCACATCCCTTGTACCTTGTACTATTTATGTTTCCAAAAGGGTGTTCCATTTATAGTGCAGCCACCAGCAACCTGTGCCTATTGACACAATTAGATCCAATCGGACACCTGTCACCGCATCCCCCGCCCTAGATAAAGGTTCAACCCTGATTATCATCATGCTCGTCATATTCTGTAATCTGTCAAAGGGAGGTCAACCCAGAAAGCCTGACCACCTCTGATGACTGAAGTCTGAAAACATTAAGGAGACTGCTGCTTCTTCCCATTGTAGCTGGGACAAGTGGAGGTATTTTGGACTGGAAGGGGAATTCGACCAGCTTTATACAAAAAACAACCCAGCTGGTTGAATTTCTGGCTTATGTGGTTGAAAACCCCTACATGTACCTTTCATACCCTATTACAAAATCAGCCTACTACCAACATACCGTACATGACAGTTACAATCACTGTCTTTCCAATGTCCTACAGAAACAGCTAATTCTCCTATTTTGACAGCTTGATGCACAGAGCAAAGAAAAGACTCAAAATGTATTTCATCATATTCATGCGGACTGAATTTATGAAAACACTTTCTGCAAGGCAAAGTTAACAAGAGGGCATAGAACAAACTGGAAGGGGACTGATTAATCAGTCCAGGGGGCCGGGGGACACTTCACCAGGGTAATTCTGTCCCCTGAACTGTTTTGAAAAGCAGGACTTAGACTTTTGTTCCTAATTTAATATACTGTTATAATGCCAATGTGAGACGGTAACTACTTATTTGGATATTCCTCTCCCCCCCCCGCACACTTTCATTGGTAATAAAGGCTGATAATATGCAATTCATTGAGGGAATTATCTCTCCAGACAGTGACTGCAAATGCAATCTTGTTTTAGTTATTGATTGTAATTAATAATTGCAATGTTGATGAATGTAATAACTTACATGTACATTTCACTTTACTTTGTGACAAGCCAATGGAAAGTAATTTCTATGTGAATTTTTGCATGGACAATGACAAATTGGAATCTAAATCTGACAAGAGGCATGCTAGAGCCAAGACTAGACCAAGGCCTGCATGTACATTTCGGTGTCGGCTGTCGCGTCTTGAAATGAGACTATGTACTGCGAACTGTCCGTACAAACAACGGTCAGATTGGTACAAGCATAGCAAATGTGTAGTCTCAGTGCAAGTACATTTTGTACAACCACGGTCTGGATCGAAGATTGTACTACGCGGCGCTGCACCGGCCCCTACAACAACAGCGAATGTAGATTTACCTTAGCCACCGCAAGCGGTTTTCCGACCATTCACTGACTCGTGGTAGCTGTGATCATGCTCTGATTTAATCATACTTGTGTTCCTTCCTCCATGCTTGTACTCACCGAAATATTTACAAATTCATTAGAATTTCCACAGTGTGTTGTTTTGCTTGCTATCGATAGCAACCTCAAATCACACACAGCAGCTTGAGTCAGTTTCATCCAAACGAGGTTGTTATTATTTGCCGCATAATGTTCTACCAAGTCCTGGGGTCGAGTATGAAGCTGAGATGTCACCACAACTTAACCGGTTAACTGAGGCAGACTGATCGGCTATACGATTTGGCAGGTTATTTCCTTCAAAGGCAGTAAGTATTTGCCACTGTCATGATTTCACAGAAAATCAATGATCTGTCACTAACATATTTATTTACATGTTACTTGTGGTTTGTGATTTAGAAGTCGGGAAGTGGTGCTTTTATTCATGAATTGCTTGCCAAAATTCTGTGTTGTGATCTCTGCAGCATGCATGGCTAGCCCACACCAAACGTAGGTCCTCTGCGTTGTAGTAACATGATGACGAGCGGGTTTCCATTTATAGCAGTTTACGTGCATGCACGTGTATACATCGTATACATTACATGGCCTAGGCCTAATCCGACTGTCGTGATTGTATTGTCGTTAGACTCCCCAGAGCTTTGGAAGTCACGAAGCCGTGGTTTTATCCGCACGGTAGCCCCATTACTTTATTAATATTAGTGTGGCACGGACTCTCACTCCCGATCCATCCTTAGCCACACATCCGTATATGCAATTTCGTGTTGGCATACAGAAATTTTCGGCACACCCACTTATCACCGTGGGCGCAATTTCTTTTGCACACAGAGATGATCGTTAGCCTCTCCGCTTTCTTAGCACCATTTATTGAATGATTTCACTCACGTTCTGGTATTTTCCAGTCTTTTTGCCTTCACCCATCCAATCTCTGTTCTATGGCTGTTCCATGTCAAGACATAAATACACGGACTGAGCGATAAGATACATGTACTACATGTGCCAATGGGCTCTTCCAAAACTTTGGCCGCAGTTTAAATTCCTGACATGGAACAGCCGTCGAGACGATGAGGGGTCAAGTGACGTAATGTTCCACGACCTTATTTTAAAGATGGCGACTGTGAGAGCGAGTCCGTAAAATTGAATGGGTGAAGGCAAAACGACTGGAAAATACCAGAACAACGTGAGTGAAATCATTCAATAAATGGCGCTAAGAAAGCGGAGAGGCTAAGGATTATCAATTTTTTTTTTCAAATTACATCGCCGTTTCCAGATGCAGTTTGCAGATGTTTGAAGATCTTTGACAAATAATTATCCGAACAGTTATAGGTAAAATAAGTCAAAATAGGACAAAAATCCTTCGACGGGATCGCTGTATCACAGTGACCTCATGCAAGAAACTTACATGTACATGTATGTAGACGGGCTGCACGTGTAATGTGGAAAGTTCTCACTGTGGAGAAACCACTTGCAGCATGCTTGAGATTCGTTCCCACCGCTGCACTGTGCTGCTGAGAGATACACAGTTGACGGACTGCAAACCAGACTCACGCAAGCTTTTAGAGTGAGCCAGGTCTATGTCTTTGCATTGGAAATATGCAGAGACATACTAATAATAGCTCTTGAAACCTGCTACAGACAAGCATAGGCTTACCTACCAGGACCGATCACATACACATGGCTAGTGATGAAATGTTGCAACACAGCAGGTGTATTGTTACATGGACAAATTTTTTCAGCTCAAAATAAGTTGAATTCATGTAACCAAAGTCCTCAGACTACAATGTACAGCAAAGTTCACCGAGTTTGGTCTTCCTCTAGCTGTATGCATGTTTTTCGTCATAGGCTGCATTAAAAAATAATGCTGATCATCTCTGCCGTGCCCAACCCACCAAAATGTCCAACCCTCAGTTACTACTTTTAATCGTCTATTCTGTATTTGCTGTCGGTAACTACTAATCAATTTTTACCATACAAAAAGAAATTTGTACAGCAAATTTGCTATAGAAAATTTTGGAACGAAATCACTCACTGATATTATCGTGAAACTGCTATACTTGTTAATTAAGCCCCTTGAGGGTACGTGCATGCTATGTACAGTCATGACTGTAAACTTATATGTGTTACGCATTGACATACACATTAAACGGGTTTGCTATAGTTGGTACATCACAACGAAAAGATAGTTTGACTCAAAGGAATAAAAACTACATTGATTCCCAGTAGTTTAAGTTGAAGATATTTCCAGATGTACTTTGTGTGAGGGAGATGTTAAGTTTAATTATGGGATAAATACACGTACATGTACATGTACATACTGGTATGTTGGGATAAGGGCCAATCCCATAACTAAAAGTTGAAGGTAGGCTAGTGATTTTGACCACGGACCTTTAGTGGCAATATGCTTGCGCTTTTTTGTCATCTTGGCAACTGAACATGTGCATTTATAGTTACCAAAGCTAGTGATTGCCAGCTGGTAGAAAATGGCCCTGCTTATAATGCAATCTGCTCAGGACCCTAGCTCCAACGCTTGAGCAGTGTCACAGAGTTCAAAAGGCATGACCATCTTGGCAAGGATACTGTTGATGACGCTGCTGAAAAGGATACATTATGACACAAGTATGTGTACATACATGTATGTACATGTGTGTAGTGATGATATATGTTTCTTTGAAGTGAGTCAAAAGCAATTTACCAATTTGTACCATATACAACTTTTGAAACACAATTTCTCTTGTGCATTAAATTAATGTGCCCTTTTGTACTTATATATTTTTCGACTAACTTTTATGTACATCGGTATGTTTTCTTGTATCACATGCTTTAACTGAGAATTTGAACCTTCTCAAAATTATTTCTTATATCATGTTTTAACTGAGAGTTTTCAACTCTCCCAAATTTGCCAATTTTTAAGATTACTGACTTCCAATTTCATTATGAAAAGTTACATGTAGTATGGTATTGTCTTACCAGGACATACATGTACATGTACATGCCAGTACAAAATATAATGTATCAGTATGAGTGCAGTGGCATCCCATGCCATTTCCACAAATAACCATAAATTACTCCGAATGGGAGAAGACTGTGCACGGTATGTGTACGGTATATCAAATCGCTACATTAACCCTAACCCCCTAGGGTGTATGTAAAATCGTATTGAAATTGGAGGATTTGGGACTGTTAGGGTTAAAAATATTGTACTGTTGTCATCAGCCAAAATTGAGCAAAATATGAAAATTAATAGTTCCAGTTAAGCCTACATGTATATGTACAATACCGGTACATGAACCAAATACCAGTAATTTACATCAAAGATCGTATAGCGCCGCGTGCAAGATGGCGAACTTCACCGTGAATACATGTAAAATGTTGTAATCGCATGGGTGCCGTTTGAGCAAGCAATATGCCTGCTCAATGCACATTAATGCAAAGGCGCAGGTGCTGCAGCAGGCATGTGCACGTGGTGAGCCTTCGCCTGAGCATAACCGTAAACCGCGCAGGCGTATCACTTGCTCAAATGGCGCCTATGGTAATTACACCTTTTGGGCAGTTATCCATCTTGCACCTTCGGCGTTATACGATCTTTTATTTACATCTTCCATACGTAAAAGTTTGACATTCTACCAGGACATATACCCATGTGCAATTTATCCAGATTTGGGATCTACATGTACATGTAGTTCCATTTTGATGACGAGTTTTAAGTTTAATCTCAAACAGACCCTCACCAATGTACCGGTACCTACATGTACTGTATGTACATGTATGTATACAGTGTACCAGTACATGTACACTGTACAATGTACCAGAGGCTTCTTTTTCCAATTTCCTTTTTGTTGTCTTAACCCTAACCCTACATAATACTACAGATTACTACTTGTAGTGAAATGTAATAATCAGTGCTGCCGCTTGTAAGAGGACATGACCGTATTGTTCTCTGAAGCCATAAAATACAATAGAAAAGACAATGTACCATACAGTGCTCTGGCATTATGAATGCGTGGCTTTATTAATTATTGTTCTCTGTACCAGTGACAATGGAAGTAACCTAGCCAGAAGTAGTAATTTGTAGTGCTACATGTAGGTCCTTCAGGCTCAGACTATTACTTAGTATTTTGCAGTACTACATGTAAGTACTGTAAGCCAAACAATATGCTTGGCGATTAGGGTTAAAACAATTGGTGTTAATGAATGCTATAACACTGGTTTCCTCTGTGAAAAATGAGGTGTGAGTCATTCTACACATTAGGGGCCCAATTTTGTGTGTCCTCGTCACATCTGATATACCGTATGATTTTGTATTAAAGTTCAGAACATATTGTCTAATTTCCAAGCGTAAAGATTAGTGCAAATTACATGTGTACCTGCCAAACAAATGTAGATGGAAATTGTTTGAAATCAATTTCAGTGATATTTCTATGTCAAAGTATGCAGGTCAGGTGTAACAGACACAAACATGTCACACTTTTGGACCCTGAATTTATAGAATGGCCCACAGTAGCATTAAATGATTTGGAGGATCTTTCATGAGATTGCTAGAAGTAAAAGTTCATAATCAGTCTGAAGGACGCACATTGTACAGGACTGACTTTTTTACAAAATTCTTTTTGATTGAATCCAGGTAACCATGTTTAGAGACACAGCGTGGACTTAAATACCCCTTTCCCCATGTACATTCAAGAGATGATAATTGCATACATGTACATGTACTACGGTACATAAAGTAAGGAGCCCAGCCCTGTCAAAGTACATATGCCGTCAGTGTAGATTGGGGTGTAGATTGGTGCCTTTACAGTTTTGTGATTTGCTTTTGTATCTACTGTGGGTTGCATTCTAATTTTCACACTTCAGTACATGGATGTTGTACCGTACATGTCTGGGATCAGTTATGATAGGTGCCTGTGCCTAAACAGCATTGCTAAATGCAGTTTACTGAACATCTCAAGTTGCACACATGTACATGTGCAGTCATGTGATGCAATTGACATGAGTAACCCTATTGTTGCTATTGTGATAGCTGACAGTGCCCAAGATAAACAGTTAATTTGGCCAGTGCAGGCTTTCTCATTCACTCATGCTGATTCACTGGGGAAGTGAAGCCTTTGTAGGCAAACAATCCAAAGATTGCACTGGAGATATAAAGCCTTTAGAAGAAAAAGTCAGGCTTGGTTTTCTTCTCTCTGATTGTGATCGTTCTTGCTGGCCAGAAGGATAAATATCTTTAAAGGCTGCGATGGAAAGATGTCTTTAGGAACGGATTTCAAACCTTTAAGTGTAGCGTCTGGAGGTCTACTCTCTGGAGGTCTGCACT